TGTGTGTGTCAGGGTGTGTGTGTGTGTGTCAGGGTGTGTGTGTGTGTCAGGGTGTATGTGTGTGTGTGTGTCAGGGTGTGTGTGTCAGGGTGTATGTGTGTGTGTGTCAGGGTGTGTGTGTGTGTCAGGGTGTGTGTGTGTGTGTCAGGGTGTGTGTGTGTGTGTCAGGGTGTGTGTGTGTGTGTGTCAGGGTGTGTGTGTGTGTCAGGGTGTATGTGTGTGTATCAGGGTGTGTGTGTGTGTTGTGTGTGTGTATCAGGGTGTGGGTGTGTGTTATGTGTGTGTGTGTGTGTCAGAGGCTTCACTCCGCAGTGCGTCGTGAGGGCATCTGGGTTTTTTGGGCTGATAAATGTTTGGACCACTTTAACTCTGACTTTGTCTTTGACTTTGTCTCTGATTTTGTCTCTGATTTTGTCTCTGAGGACGACGCTGCTGTAAAAATGTTTGATACGATTCTGAGAAATTATTTTTTATTTATTGAGTCGATTGTGGAACTTTATCTCCAAATGTTTAATAAAGAAATGTGCCTCTGGCACTTTTATAAACAACTGCTCTGTATGTCTCTGGTGTGTGTGTGTGTGTGTGTCTGTGTCTCTGGTGTGTGTGTGTATGTGTCTCTGGTGTGTGTGTGTGTGTGTGTGTATGTGTCTCTGGTGTGTGTGTGTGTGTGTCTGTGGTGTGTGTGTGTGTGTGTGTCTCTGGTGTGTGTGTGTGTGTGTCTCTGGTGTGTGTGTGTGTGTCTCTGGTGTGTGTGTGTGTGTGTCTCTGGTGTGTGTGTGTGTGTGTGTGTGTGTCTCTGGTGTGTGTGTGTGTGTGTCTCTGGTGTGTGTGTGTGTGTGTGTCTCTGGTGTGTGTGTGTCTCTGGTGTGTGTGTGTGTGTGTGTCTCTGGTGTGTGTGTGTGTGTGTCTCTGGTGTGTGTGTGTGTGTGTCTCTGGTGTGTGTGTGTGTGTCTCTGGTGTGTGTGTTGTGTGTGTGTGTGTGTTTTTGTGTATTTGTGTTTAAGGGAAACTTGTAAAGTTGAATCTGCCCACACTTCACCTCTGTCTCCACGACAACAAGAACTCAGACGCACAAATATCTGTACTGTATAAATACTCCTGTACACACACACACACACTGTACACACACACACACACACACTGTGTACACACACACACTATACACACACACAAAGACACACACTATACAACACACACGCAACACACTATTGTGTACACACACTATATACACACAAAACACACCTCGACACACACACACTATACACACAATTACACACACACACTGTAGTGACTTGTCCAAAGTCACAAACCAAAGTGTTGATCAAACTCAGAGCTAAACAGAACTCAGGTCGTCACTTCTGGGCACCGTGGGTTTGTGTTTTTACACAGAGACAAAAAAAAATCAATATCATGACCAGAGGTGAGTCTCCGAGATTCATGTCCAGTTTTAGGCAAACGACACGGACACATGTTTAAGGCCGACTCCTGCCGCTTCTCCTGTCGACTCCTGAATAACCACCAGGTCCACCGGGTCACTCTGGTCCACGTGTCCCTCCCTCCTTTATCCCCACATTAAACAAAAACAGAAAAGGTGCTGAAGGTAAATAACACCAAATATTAACACAGCAAAAATATATTATGCAAATTAAGAAAACTGAATAAATGAACTCACTGACAAACAAAATAATAAACTCATTTTAGAATCAACAAAATAAACAAAAAGTTCGTCCCAGCGTCTCAGTGTTTTTCTGTCTTCAGTTTGTCGCTCATTAAACAACTTTAATTAATTACGATTATTTAATCGTTGTTTACAAACGTCAGAAGAAAATCTGAAACACAAACTCGGCTTTGGCTGCTTCATTTTGTTGCATTTTCCGTCCAGTAGATGGCGCCACAAGACGAGGAACGAGAGCGACTGTTTCACTGGAGCCGAGGTTTGAATAAAACAGTTTGTTAAAAAAAAAAAAGACACTGTTTTTTTTCACAGATTTTCACTGAAAAACACGACACTTTTACACCGACCAAACTTCTGGGGACGCGGAGAGACCAGGTCACACTCAAGATGTAAACGAACAATGAACAACACAAATACTTCTGTTTAAACACACACACTATACACACACACACTATACACACACACTATACACACACACGCATACACACACGCATACACACAAACAATACTCCTGTTTAAACACACACACTATACACACACTATACATACACACACTATACATACACACACTATACACACACACACACACTATACACACACTATACACACACGTACACACACACAGTACACACACTATACACACACACACACACTATACACACACACAATACTCCTGTTTAAACACACAAACACACACATACACACACTGTACTCCTGTTTAAACCTCAGGTGTGTGCACGGGCCTCTGGTGTGTGCGTGGGCCTCAGGTGTGTGCGTGAGCCTCAGGTGTGTGCACGGGCCTCAGGTGTGTGTGTGAGCCTCAAG